TAAGCATGAGATGTTACATGTAAGAGGATAATAATTATAAATAGAGTTCTATTTGGATAAAAATTATGTTATTTTCTTGATGTTTGAAATATTGTTTCTTTTAATAATTCATTTAAAAATCAAAACCTACGTGTGAAAAATTCATAATACATGTGCATGATTAATAAAACCATCGTACGCAAACTGCTCCTACCAATTTCAAAGTTGGTCATTTGAAATTAATAATATTTGATGATAGAATAGTTAAGATTATTTAATTTGTTGATGTGAGCAATTATATACATGTTGAAGAAGACATTAACAAAAGAGAATAATCAGATACACAATATTACTAAAGAATAAGCATAAAGATAAAAAAAAGGAACATACATGTTGAAGGAGACGAAGTTACCATGAAAATTGTGTAATTTTTTGGTTTATATATAGGCATGAGATGTTGCACGTGATATGATAACAATTACAATTAGAGTTCTCTTTATATAAAGATTGCAAATTGTATAATATTTTATTATAATAACAATAACACAATTCTTATCAACAATTTCATATGTGTAAAGTCTATGCCTCATACCGATTAGGATTAGGGTATTTAGTTCAAACTGAATAATTAGGATAGCCTTTTAGTAGTTCATTTGAACATTGAAATTTGTGTCTTAGTTCAAACTTTAAAGAAAGAGAGGAGGCATAATTAGGATAGATATTTAATTCAAACTTTAAAGAAATAGAGGAGGCATAATTAGGATAGATATTTAATTCAAACTTTAAAGAAATAAAGGAGGTAGAATGTGTACGGGTTAGGATTAAGATATTTAGTTCAAACTGAATAATTAGGATAGCATTTTAGTAGTTTATTTAAACTTTATTAAAAGTGTTAGTAAGGTAAGTAGTCCTTAATCATATTGAAGATTATATGGCTTCTACAAATTAAGTATCATTATAAAAATTAAGTATATAATTAGGTATCAAAGTTGTGTCAACTATGAGCCGTGATTCAAGTGTGCGAGCGATTTTTTTTATTTTTTATAATTAAATACAATTTAAAAATTAGAATTTGATTAGGAATAGGATAGTTCAAACTTTAAATTTATTTGATTAGGATTAGAATAAATCATTAAATACAAACTGAAACTTAGAATTTAATTAGTATTTGATAGTTTAAACTTTATAAAGATATTTTTGTCTGCCGAAAGATTTTCCAAACTGAGTGCTTCTAAGGGGGAGTATGATTTGAGTAAAGTGTGCAAGTTACATTACAGAGCGCGGATCCAAACCTGAAACTTCGAGCGTGAAAAGCCCACGGACTCCGGACCGATGGTTTCAAGGGTATTTGTGGAAATTCCTAAAAGCGGGAGACCTCATTAACAGCCTTCCCTCTCTCTCTCTCTCTCTCTCTCTCCCCTTTTAATGGCGCCCCTGATATTTGTCCCCTCATTGGATGAGGATCAACCCTCTTCCTAAATTCTCCGTCCATGTCTCTCTCTTCCTCCTCCTGTCCTCCCCCAGGCCCTAACTGTCCTGCATCGCCCACGCCATTGGAAACCTATGCCAGAGCTTCCTGCTCTCCTATGGAGTTAGGGTTGGGGTCGGGATCCTCCTCCGAGCGTTCAAGCTCGCCAAGCGACGGTCGTACTCGTCGATCCTTGATCTCAAGGTACGGATTTCTTTCCTTCTGTCGTTGATTTTTGTGTGGAAGGCTTTGGTGCCTCTGAAGATCGATTTCTTTCTGGCATTTATTATCTTATCATACCATTTGAAAGGCACATGCAAATGCTGCTGTTATGACTCAGGTGAAATTTAAAAATTAAGTAGAAGTACCAATACAACCTTGCTTTGATCTCAACAGTAGTGATTATGTTGAAATAGAGGACACGAAATAACACATATTGAGAGGTGAAAATCAATAGGCAGCCCCTACGTCAATATGATACATGTTCCCATAATCATTTAATATGATCAAAATATGTTGCTCCTTTGATTTTAACTTCGACTACTAATTAGTTATCTATCTGAGTGGCAGAGCTGGGTTTTTCCCCCTCTTGGGAGGGGCCAAAATACAGTTATCAATCAAATGGAAGTGATAAAATATGGCGATGAATAATAAATTTTCATGCGTGTTAGTGGACGAAAGAAGAAACTTGGATAGAAGTTTTACAAAATACATTTTCATGAATACTTGAATCATTTGAATATATTCATCCATCATTCTCCAATCTTCTAAAGTTTCTTTTTTTAAATGTATTAATTATTATTGGTTTTTCCATAAACACAAAATGCAAGTTCTATTCTTTTTAGAACTAGATAGATTGAAAATATTTCGCATGCCTATTTTTTAATTAATGATATTGGAAGCACCTCATTTCACAATTCCACAACAAAATGCAAAACCACATAAAAATAAAAACTTCATTTCACAATTCTACAAGTAAATGCAGATCTTTAAAAAAATATATGAAATAGAAACCCATTTCACATTGCTATGACTTTGGATAAAGAAAATCATGGAACTTAAATAATTTATGGATGATAATCATGTAGATGATGAGAATCCTAACTTTCGGCCAAAATGCAGACCTAGAACATGTGGGAAATGAGCTTACTGGAAATTTTCCTATTTGACTTCAACCCTAGAAATAATAGTCTGAGAAGAAGAAAGAAAAAGGAAGGCTTTGGTGTTAATTGTGGATGCGTCAATGTTAAATTAACTAATGTGTCAGTTGAGCCACTTAGTCTTTTTTATCCACATGCACATAACTTGGTCACTTGATCGTTCTCATTCATAGACCCACAACTTTTTTTAAGTGTAATACGCTAGCCTATAACTTAAATATATTAATTGTTTAATTACCTTTAGTTAAGTAGGTTTTTTTTATATTAGTAGATAAATCTTTCTTCGATAGATCTTTCATGTTAGAATAAGTCCCTTGAACCATTGAAATTGATATCTGGTAAGTTATTTTGAAATTAGTCCTTGCAATCAATAGTAGACATAACTATTAGAGAGATTAATTTGAAACTACTTAAGAATTTATGGACGTAATAACAATTTCTGTGAGTTGAGGGAGTAATTTCAAAATATGAAAGATTTAAGGAGCTAATATCAAATAACCTTTAAGTTAATCATAGTCACTATTTTTTTATTGTCAGTCTCGTATGTTTAATACCTGCAATACATGTACACATACAGCTAAGATGAATAAATATAATCAACTTTCGAGAAAGAAAATTCAAGAGATTATGCATGTGTGGTAAGCTAATAAGACAGGGATGGATTGATTGGTACAGAAGATAAAATGCATTTATAGCTAAAAATTATACCACAAAAAATGTATCCTTCTACAATTGTATGTGGACACAAGTAACCATTTGGTCAACATGGGTCAACACCGTACTCTAAGTAACTAAGTTTGACATTTGACATATTGTACCATAGTAGTAGTTATCATTATCTTAGGAGAAGTGATAAGATTATAATTAATGGATAAAGCCTAGAAGGACTTTGGTAGAAATTGTTAAGCAGAATGTGATAATGCTTAACTTAGAGGAGGAGATAGCCTTTAGCAGAACTGGTTGAAAGAGAAGAATTCATATAGCTGACCCCCAAAAATTTGGATGAAGGCTTTGTTGTTGCTGTTGTTGTTTACCATAGTGGTTCTGGTATGTAGCTAGGGAGTTCAGCCAAAAGCACTTTGACATCCTCCCACAGGAATTCTCTGGCCTAAAATGCTTGTTGAATTCCCTTCGTATACCATTATGCTTGAATAAGATGCAAATGAGATAAGTAAAACCACGAGCTTATCTAGCACGGCCAGTTTGTTCTCTTGTAATCCCTGTTGTACCTTTGGTTTTTATAGTTGAGCACATGTGAAAAATGGAACAGCAAGATATATTTTACTCAACCTTAAGTTATAAGAAATGTCATGTTGCTCTCATTGCAACAGTTATTCCAATTTGATGATAATCATGGTGTCCGTGGAAGGATAAATTTGATATTGGGAAGAGAAATTTAAGTCTCAGCGAAAGTGGTTACTAATTACTTAATTCCATTGAATGAATTTATTTATAATTCAATTACATCACGCATTGGTAGCTTAAATTCATCCTTATAACAAATTCCTTTGCAAATTCATCAAGATAATCCTGTTACCGGTTAACACATTATCATGTATCGATGAGTGTATACTAAAGTTTCTGTCTCCATAGCTTGAAGTTAAGAACTAACTGTGTCCCACACTGTAATTGTTGGGCATGTGATGCTTAACATCGTGATGATTGTCTTGGAATCTATGTCGCACACACATTAGAGATTAGAAATTTGAAAGATTATACACGAGGACAGCTGAAGTTGTGGAGGATGGTGAAATCACATCTTTTATCTTTTTGCACATTGTGGTTTTTAACCTACATATTTAATGAACGAATAATTGCACCCTGTCCAACCAACACAAGCCAAGCAGCAATTTTAAAAAAAAATGTTTTTCCTTATGTAATATTCACTTTGCAATTTAAGGGAACTATTCATAGTGTCTGATCAGATTGTATATTTGACTTGTTAAATGTTTTTTGCTTCATTTTCTTTCTTCTTCTGTAACCTGTCATAGTTGCCTTTCTCTTAGAAACATGGATATATTAAAAAGCACAAACTTACAGCATGAAGAATAATCCTTTCATTGTGCTTTTATCATAACATTATGTCCTTAATGTACAGCAACTTGTTTCAGAGAAAGATCTGATAGTAAGAGAAGAAGCATGCAGAGTGGGATTGCTTTTTGGTGGTTTTACTGGATCCTATCATGCTTTGAGATGTCTTCTGAGAAAGTTACGCAAGAAAGAGACTCCATTAAATGCGTAAGTCCATAAAACTTTTGACATTCACGTTATTATTTTCTTCTATTGCTTTATACAACTTCTAATGTAACCCCCCCGCCCCCACAAACCACACCTCTCTTCTTACTGTTTATATCTCATGATTCTCATCCATATCCGTGACTAGTTGAAGTGTTGATGAGCATGAATATTAGCAGGCACTGTTGCAGGCTTGTCTGTATGGCCTTAGATGATTCAAGTCGCAGGCGCACTCTTGCTTTATACCTTTTAGCAAGGCTTGGTCAGGTTTGGAAAATTTAATAATTCTAGCTAGTCAAAAGTAAATTATGATGATTTGATTCCTCTTGCTTTTTAAGAAGGGATTATCATTTCATCATTATTATGTTATCTCTTTGTAGTGCGCCTATAATTCTGCAAAGGCGAAGAATAAGTTTCATCTCTGGGGAAGTCATTGGAGTCATGGAGATTCTTTACTTTTTTCTTTGGCATGCGCTCAGGTGGCTAAATTTCTAACTGTTGTTAACATGCTATTTTTTGTAAGAAATATAATGGATAGTGATAATGTTTTATTCATATGACATGGATAAGTCGGGGTTCGTTTACTTACGGTATCAACATTTTGTTCAAATCATATGATGCTATTTTGTGCATAATAATTATATTCATGAATGTTATTGTCTTGGGGCATAAAAATTTTCTCACTTTAGTTGAAAATTTGGGGGGGGGGGGGGGGGGGGTTACAGAAATGTACATAAACTAAGGTTAATTTTCTCAAAGGGTCACGGTTGTCAAAATAAATATAAAGTTTTATTTTGGGGTGAAAAGTAATAGTCCTTTAAAGCTGCAATGATCATATATATATTTCAATACTTCAGGTTCACTATAGAAGCTCATGATTGTAGTGAAAGGTATATATAGAAAAAATGAATTCAACTGATGTCACTGCATGCTCTCTAATTTAAGTTAAATATATGTTGTTAACTAGTTATGAGACAGGAATGTATCTTTCTATGCACATGAGAGTAAGAACAGAAGTTGTTGTCATAAAAGAAATCTAATGTTATAGACAACACTAGGCGGCCTAGGCATTTGGACATGTAGCCTAGAGCCTTGGCATTTTCCTATCGTTTTTTTTTTAATTACAATAGTTGGTAGAAAATGCCATTGTCATAGAAAGCTTAGGCGCCAGTTAGCGCTTAGGCTAATCTTTCTTTGTTTAAGTGGTTGTGGGGGAGGTTTTGCTAAAGGTCGGAGGAGGTAGAGGAGGAGTTCATAGTTAGAGATGGTGGAGTTTGGAGAAGGTGGGAGGATGTGGAAATTGCAACGGAGGAAACCACGATCAAGGTCTGAAGGGTGCAGTTCATTTAAGCAGCCCACGCTCTCATAGTTACTCCCAAAACCTGGATGGATAACTAGCTAGGCGCTAGGCGCATGGCGCTAGGCGCTAGGCGCTAGGCGCATGGCGCTAGGTGCATGGCGGGCGGACAAGGTACTTCCTAGACTTAGGCGTATGCCTAGGCAGGCTAGGCGGAGGCTTTAAAACATTGAATAAATTATTACAAATCATTAAATCATTAGTCAGAGCTCGTCGCTAGTGACCTTGGCAAGGGGATTCTTAAGGTGAAAAGAAAGGGCTTGTTTGGCAACTCCACAAAACTTGTTTTAAGTGGTACAACATTGGTCCAAAACCTTATTTTTAGTTTGACAAAAATTGGGCCCAAATTGAAGTTGTTCTTTCTAGTTCAAAATCTTGCCCCTAAACTAGTTTTTTTGTAAACCAACCATTATATGGTTCAACTTTGACCTAGCTGAGAAAAAACTAGTCTAGCCTAGTTCAATTTTTGACGATGCCAAACACACCCACAGTCTCTAGTGGAGAGCACAAAGAAAGGTAGCTCAAATGAAAAGTTTCTGTGTGTTTTGGTTACTTTCAAATGAAAGAAAAGCTAATCAGACACGACCAGATTTTGTGTTGCCATGTTATTTACTTGCAGTTTTTAAAGTGCACTATGGCAAAGAGAAAGCTAAGTACGAGAATGACATCTCTTATGTGAACTTGGATGCACCTGTCTTTCATTTCCTGCTCTTCCTTTACACAACTGTTTCTCTTGGATTGAACATACAATCGACCAAGTATTATGTAGTTGATTGCATATTATTGTTTCTATTTTTCTTATATTATGTTTCTATTGTTTCTTTTTTAAAACAAATTATTTATATTTGAATATGTAATTGATGAATATGCTCATTTTCAGGTTATGTATGCATTTGTAATGCGACCTGAGAGCTTACCTAAAGCATATCAAGATTTTATTCAAAAGACCGGACCAGTTGCTGCGCCTGTGTACAAGGCCGTGAGGGACTGTTGTAGAGGCTCTCCTGTGGACATTGCTATGCTATCAGCTTACCTATCTAACAAAAAGGGATCCAGTTCTGTGAAGTTGATGGAGCATCCCTCCATAATACCATGTTCTGTAATACATCCAAATACAAGTTCTTGTCTAGTTCACAATGCTGCCGCTGTTTCAGCAACATTTCGGAAGACCTTTCCTCTATATTTTTCATTAACATTTGTACCATTTGTTGTTCTCCATCTACAAAAGGTATTCTGGTCAACTTCTTATTGATTTCAGTCCTTATTATAATTTACCATTTCAGCCAAATCTTTAGTTTGTTGCATGTTAGCGAGCCTATGTCATCTAGTTCTATGACTCTTGATTGAAAACTGGATACATGCTCATCTCAGTTAATGGCGACTTTTGCATGGGTGTTCATGTACTTTCCTTCTAAAACCATCTGCAAATAATTGCCTAGTGTACTTTCATCATACAACATGTATCCATGTTTACTCACTATTTGGGTTCAGTGACTTTAATATTTGATTTTATCCTGCTAGAAGCGAGCTATGAGTTCTGTTACTAGTTCATTTTACTCATTATGAGTCAAGAGATTGACATTGTGTTCTAGTCCTTTATTACTATTTATATGTTCTACCAAATGGATCTCTTAACAATTCTTTGGCAAGCAATTTGGACAAGAGAATTTTGGTCAAATTTTTTTAAAAAATTTTATGGATTTTTTAGCATTAAAGACTGAGTTTAAGGGAGTGATTTGTCATTTTTTCTTATCCTTTCTGATTTTTGTACATGTTATGCAAATTGTTGGCCCACCTCAATTATTGTTGATCCTTCCAAGACGATGGTCTCTTTGAAGGAATTTTGTTACTTTTCCTGTTCTTTTCCTTTCATTTGGAGTGAAAACATAGTCTGGATGTGAGTGAGCTAAGCAGATCGTTATTTGGTTGGTGGTTTCCTCCACCGCCCCTTCTTTCCTTCAACCCTTAGTGAAATTTGAAGATTTGTCTTGTATTAGGTAAAACTAAGGTGAATTCGCACCATACTGAGTAGTTCTGAAGCGGTTTTCTTCTATGCATTCCTCTTGAGGATAGAAAAGGATAACGCTCTTATACTGTTCAGAGTATTTGGATCAAGTAGTAAATAGCGTTAATACAAGGAAACAGAGAGCGATCCCACATTAGTTAGGCTTAGGTCAAGGATTGTCATTAAGTCTTTAATTTCTTCTATTAATTATGGATATGGCTTTCCTGGGTATATCTATGTAGTGTTTGTGCTGTATGTTGTTAGGTGTGGACATTTTATTAGTTGACGAGACTAGAAAACAGATAACTCATTGAGTATAACTGTATAAGTGGAACGAAAGTTTAATAGTTTACAAACTATGAAATGTAAGGTCACCAAGAACTATGAGAAGGAATAAGGGTAGTGATAGCCAATGGGCCGCCTAGGATACATTAAGCCGGGAGTCTGCTCATAAGAGGGGTTAGGGATAGCTTCAACTGAGGAGAATATAAGGGAGATTTAAGATAGTTTTGACATGTCTACAAGAGAAAGATTAGTGCACCTATCGTAGGAGAATAGACAATCATAGAATAAAGAGAATCATTTTTTATGAAACCACCAGTACTAGGTGTGAAACATAATGTGACTGGATTTAGGACCAAAATAGGATTGTTTTAGTTGTTGATTTGAACAGCCCACACGACGTATGGTAGATTTGTTAGAATAAGTATCAGACTAGTTTAGATTATTTTGTTCTAGTAACTCACTTCTTCTACTCAACCAATCATCTATTAGTAGGTTCGTATGGCTCATTAATATAGTTTCCTCTCTCTACATGGTATCAGAGCGGGAGAAATTGGGAAAACCCTAATCATAAAATAAAATAAATATAAAAAACACAAGAAGCCACAATAAAACCCTAAAATAACATCTAGCCATATTGTCCATTGGTGAACAGTAACTTACTATTCATGATGCAATACCCAACTGTTCACAGTGACCAGAAACCGTGATTACTGTTCACCGTGAATAGAAAATAAATAGCATGTCGTCATCACTGTTCTGTGGCCCTTTATAACCGTTACTTCCAATAACTTACTATCATTCCTTTCTATTAATTTTGGGCATGTATATAAGTTAAGAGGGTATATATTTCTACATCAGCAATGTGGAAAATCTATTTGATTATTTGATACACAAAGTAACAAAAATTTCTTAAAATTAATGAATTTCCAGTTCTTGGAATCTCCTACTTGGACTTCTTGGCGTGCTGTTCTCGATGCTGTTCGGTCAACAACATTCTTGTCCGCTTTTGTTGGAATATTCCAGGTAAGGATTTTTCCAATTGAGTTGCTTTTAGACATGATACCTACTGTTGGTAATGTTTGCTTGTTTCATCCTAGAGTGTCATCTGCTTACACCGTAAGGTGACAACGAAAGATCACAAATTTTTGTACTGGGTTGCCGGTGGGATATCTGCCCTTTCTGTACTTCTGGAAAAGAAAGCAAGAAGATCTGAATTGGCCCTTTATGTTCTTCCTCGAGCTGGAGATTCTTGGTGGTATATCTTAGTGAACCGTCACCTACTGCCAAATATAAAAAACGCTGAGGTATAATACGTTCCCCACACCAAAAAAAAAGAAGATTCTTTCTTCTTTTTTTCAATGAGTATGTAAATTCAATTTTCCTGGGTTATTAATCAGGAGCAAGACTCCTATCAACTTAAGTTGATGTCCACCAAAGTTTGTAGCCACACATTTATTAATATAAAACACATTTTTATATAATACAAGGATCCCTAGGCAATATGAGTGGTTAAGAACTTTGGTGGACACACTATTTCCTATCCACTTAAGTTGACACAAGTCTTCACCTATTAATCAGATATAATTTCTGACAAAGACATACTTAATAACACTTTTCTTTCTTCGTCTTCTTCCTTTTCCTCGTGGGAACATCTTTCTTTTCAGGTATGATTTAGGTTGTGACCACTAGGACAATTTTTGGTTAACAATAACCTCGAAAAGTCAGGTCTTTGATGATAATGCTGACTCCCGCTCACTGGCTTATCAGGGATTTGGCTAGAAATTTGGGCTCAGTACCTCAATGAGCAGTATAAATTTGTAGCTTCATTTACAAAGAAGTAAGTGATAGTGCGTGTGAGTACCTCAACAAAGATAATTTAATAGTTCAAGACCCACGAGTCGCAACTAGTTTTTAACAGCAGTGTCCAGTAAACAAAGTAGGAACCTTCATCCACATATCAAGTGACATGCCTTCTTTGAATCTATGCTAGGAACATGCCTCTAATATTGAATTTTCAGAAATAGCTCTAGTTACATCTTTGACCCGGTATCCTCATAGTATGTTTGCTTCTATATTGTGTAAAAAAGCTTATAAAGCCTGTTTTAGCGGAAGTGTATTAGTAGGCACTTGGCTTTTATCTAAAGCTAGAGTACAAAGCACCTGGACTAATGTCTTGAAGCTTGGGTTCAATCTGCATTTTGGTGGCCAAAGCAGAAAAAATGCTTTTTCACGTTCAACACATGCTTTCTTGCAAAGCCACTAGATTTGCGTGAGTTCTGGTTTCATTTAAAATAGGTATTCATAATTTCTTATCTATAGTTCACCTCTTTGTAGTCTTAGAAGTGTTTGGCGACTATATTTATTGGTAACTCTTCTTGTGACCACAAAGGCTCTGACAAGCCTTCAAAGGGTTATTTCTGTTTCCTTTTTTATTTTTTATTTCTTATTTTCTTATGGAATATCTCCTAATATTTTAATACCTCTCATGCAATATTCTTTGATATCCCATCTTTTATTTCTTAATCCTTGTGTCAGTGCTTGTTGTTATGTTTGCTCTTTAACATTGTGTAATAATGATTTATTCCTTCTCTTCGTGGGCATAAGTTTTTTTTTCTCTTTTTTTGGCGTTAAACAGCTTAAGTGTATTTGTTTCAAATGGAAAGAGCTCTTTGATTCTTTTTCTTTTCTGGATTTTCTACTGTTACTATTTTTATTGTTAAAGACCCTACACTTGTCTGCCAGAATGTCTTCTTTTAGTTTATATCCACATGTTCACATTTTGAATGTTACATCTTTCTGATTTTCAATGAACTCTTCGCCTTGGGTTAGTGTTCATGTTTTTCCGTAATAAAGTGTTCATTTCTTACTTTCTGTAGAATTTAAATTATCATACTGAACTATGATTCATTATTCTTTTTCTTTAAAACGTATCTCCTTAGACCTTGTAGTGATAAAACATTTCATATACTGTTTTAAGACTCGTATAAATCATCAAAAATCATCCTCTTGATTTTTAAATTCTATTTTCCTTTCTTGTTTCTACTTTTTAATTTTTGTGTCCACCTTTTGTCTTTCTTCTGTGAAAACCCTTCTAGCGCCCATGAAACCTAAGCCTTGGACTCATGCTTTGCTCTGATTTCTGCTTTTCACAAGAATGCAACAAGGATATGACAACAACGACGAACTCATGGACATTGAGAACCCAAAATTTTGGAGGCAGATTCATTGTGATAGAACCGCAATAAATTACACATGCCATATTCATTGTCTGTTTCATAAACTTAAGTGTGTCTAACCTGATATGTGTGCAAACCTGTAGACATTTTCTTTTAAGGTCTTGACCGATAACAGCATTTGTAGAATTTCGGAGAGATAAAAGGGAAAATGCCAAGAAAAAGAAAGAATATGGGAGGGATATAAAAATAGAAGGAAAAAAGAAGGGAAGAGATGCAAGGAAGAAAATGGAAATGGGAAAAGAATGACAAACTATTCTTTATATATATATTAAGAAAGTGAAAAATAGTTGTTTGTTAAATGTGATATGACAAGTTACATAACATGAAATATTAACCAGAAAAAAAGCTGAATTGTTCTTCAGGTATCTTTTGTCAAATTTAAACTAGATCATTTATCTCAAATATGGGTGAAACTTGAGGTGTTCATCTCCAGATAACCCAAAAAAACATGTAGTATCATAAAGTTTATTATGTCTCCACCTAATATAATTGTTTCTTTGTACTCTCACTTGCCTTCCTTGACCAGCCATCTTGAGTCATACCGTCTCGTTATATCTAAATTTTGGCATAATTTAAGAGGTTTGGCTTTCGTGGGGGTGTGGGGTTGGGGTGGGTGTGCGTCCAAGTGAATTTGTGTCCATGTTAATTGGTCTCTGATCATTGGTTACCTCGGTTACCTAGTGCAACCCACCTCTTTCTTACAAATGAAACTGGCAGTGGTAGAGGACATTAAACACGAGTATGATAGTAAACAAAGACAGGAGGATGTTCACTTGTAGGCAGTAGAATTAATTCACATGTCGTGGAGCTGTATTTTTGTTGGACACATCAAGATGCATGCTGGACACTTGCACTTTTTAGCCTCAACATGTTCACAACTTATTGAACATCCTGTTGCTGTACCATAATTTTAAAATTTAGGACACTTCTTGGACACAAATTATATTTTTCGCTTGTACATTTTCTTTTGCCCAAATTAGATATTTTAGTTTTTCTTCATCAATTTATATGTTAAACACTATATGCAAAAGTCTATAAGATGGACTGAACATGGTGGATGTAGTTTTTACTCAAAATCTTAATGAATGTCGGCCTTCATTAATTAGCACAATCCTCTGCTGTGGCTTTGCTCTTGTCCTTTCAATTAGAACTTTTACTTTTGATTTCTGAAGGAAATTAGTTAATTGGTTACATTCACTAGCATCCACGGATTCATTCTGATGTCTTGGTCATTTACTCGGTGGCAGGTAGCTTTGTTCTGTTTGTCCATGGGAGGAATCATGTACTACTTGGAGCATGAACCGGACACTATGGCTCCATTTCTTAGAGGTATCATTCGTAGATTTCTTGCTAGCAGAATAAGCAATCCCAGCCCGCCTCCTAATCGAAATGTTTCGTATTCATATTTGCAATCTCTTGGTTCCATTGAGACTCATAAATCACCAAAGAACGAGATTACTGAAGCGACGGCATCAGCAAAGTACAATCTTGAGTCTATCCCCGGATTATAGAGGTTTGTATCTGTTATCTTCATGGTAACTTGACAATAAAGGATGGAAGTGGTCCATTTTTTGGAATTTTAATAAACATAGAGGGAGTTCAGGAGTCTTGTGCGAATCATATATGAAAACAAGTTAACAGTGTTATGGAGCTGAGAAAACCTCACAGTAACGTCAACTATTAAGCATTCATCAGGACAGCTGCCGCTATTTTGTTAGAGATTCCTATGTTATAATCAAATGTAACCATTTAAAAGATAGTAGTGGTGCTTATTTGTGTTTTATTTGTGTCAATGTGCCATTATGCTTGTAAACTTTATAAAATGATCTATTCGCCAAGTTAAAGGTCAATATGTTACAATTAAAATGTAATCCATTATGAAGGATAAAAATTTAGTAGCGCCTATTTGTATTTGACGTGTGTCAATGTGCCATTGAGTTAGTAGAATTTATGAAAAAATTGTTGTCTTAGTTGCTGGTATTTCTGGGGTCTAAACTTACATGCTTTATTGCACTAAGAGCTTTGGGCCAAGGCAGTAAGGCAGGAGGAGCAGGTTATGTAGACGTTTTTGGTCTTTTAGTTTGTGAAATGCTCAGCAGATGTACTTGATTTTTTGCTGCGATCATATTATAGCTGAATAAGCTGAAGCCCCTTAGCAGAAAAAATTTCGTGATAACACAGGACGCTTTGGGGTTTTTAAGTCCTAAACCAAGCGATGGTTCTTTTTCAGGATTTTCTCCAGTACTAGTCTCCCCATCCATTTCGTATTTTGAAATTAGTCCATCAAATCTTCATATTCTGGAATTAGTCTGTCAAATGCATTAAAGTGCTTTGAAATCATATTCTGGAATTAGTCTGTCAAATGCATTAAAGTGCTTTGAAATTAGTCCCCCATATTTTTTAACCCTTCACCGATTAGAAGACTAGTTTCAAAACACTTAAAAAGATTTGGCGGACTCATTTCAAAATATGAAGATTTTGGGGGATTAATTTCAAAATACTCAAGAGATTCGGGGGGCTAATCTCAAAAGAAGCCTTCTTTGTTTTTCTGTGCTTTGGGCCAAGATTTGATGGCAGACTCCTTCTGTTGCTCAAAGCTCTACCTGAATATTGGCCCTTTGTTGTCACAGTAGTCTCCGGACCGTAAATGAACAGCTCATTTAAATTAGATCAGGGATTCTTCAGACGTATACGTTTCTTGGGATATGAGCGGTTTCATCCCACCTATTTAGCTCAACAATAATGCTATTTGGCTCGCTGTTTGGGCTGGCTCCCTCAAAATTATTGTATTTAGCTCGCTCAGGTTTCTCTTCTCCGTTATTGAGAGCGCGAAATCTAGACTCGTGCGCACGCGTTGGAAAACATAAAAAAAAAAAAACAAACGATCCCATCTCCGTCAATCAATTCTCATCTTCTGCACTCGTCCCTGGCTTATAAACAAGTCGCGATATTCAGTTTGAACTCGGTACAATCAATTTTCTTTTGTGCTCATTCATCCTGAGGAAACCTAGATTTATGCAACAGTCTGAACTTTATACAATCAATTTTCTTTTGTGCTCGTTCATCCTGAGGAAACTTAGATTTATGCCACAACAAGACAAACTTTACAATCGAAGTTTGGCAAGGGATCCAGAAATGAAGCGTTTGTTTTCCTCAGCAAGCGAACAAACTTGGACTAAGCTCCGCAACTTACTGAAAAAACTTAACCCAATCGCATAAAAAAGAAACCTACCACGTTACAAATTACTGGGCATCCATAGACACCACATGTTCCAGTCAGCAAAAGCATATCAATAATCTGATAAAAATCTCCAACTAAACAAAACATATTCAACTGCTAGATAAAAAGATAGCGTTCTCTCTTAGTCAAATCTTTACAATAGACATGCAAAGTATGTTCATTAAGTAGGAACCCAAGACATGAAGATAACACCCAAGTAATGAGCTACCCAACTAGCAGAGCTGTCCCTTTTAAAACCTGTAGTCCCTGTATCCTCCCAATCCAGAATCATATCCACCATATTGCGATGGAAGAGATGATGATGGATATGCTGAATATGCCGAACTTCCGATACGAGAATAGGATGATGACCTGAGGCCTGTATCAAGACCTCCATAGCTACTCACTGGTGCTTCTTTGTGTCCCGATATAAAATCCTGTTTATAAAAGACTCTAGTCAATGAGACTTCCATTCTCAAAAAGGTATTCAGCTGCAGTATATATTTGCAATCAAAAGGGTATGTTACACTCCCCAGAACTTTGAGGATTCTACACAAAGCTCCTCTAACCAAAACACCCTCTTTTCAAATTTGTCTGACTTGAGTATTTTAAGTTTGTCATGTTCCTTTTACGGAAGCTATTTTAAGTTGTCACGTTCTCCGCACATAACAAAAATTTGGACAATTTTACCCCTATTTGCTAAATATAACTTCTATATTACTAATTTCGGGTGAGGGTAGGTAAAAAAACATTTGTAGTTTAGAGTTTTAATTATACCTGTCAATGCCGTTTATGAAAAATCTTCCAATAGTTTGGGAGGTTAGTAAAATTTTGAAAGTTCAGAGGGGTCTCTATGATTTATAAAGCTCCCAAAGTTTGGGGGTGAATTTTACCCATTAAAAAACACAGGATCAGATTTTAAATTCTTGTACCTGGATGAGCTGCTGAGCAGTCTGAACTTGATTAGAAGTGCCTTTGATCTCAACTGTAATCTCATCAGCCAAACCTCCACTCTCCTGAACAGTAAGAACAGCTCCACTGGTGCGACGGATGTATGCAATGTTGCCTCCTCCAATACCAATGATGTCTTCTGCATACGTGAGTGGTATTTGCATTGTTTGTGTCACCTGAATCAAAGAATGGCTTTTAATGTTAAGAAGACGACTAGAGAAAACACAGGCTCAGTCACTAGGTCTTCCAGTAGATCATTGTGCAAGTTAATTAGTGTCTGATATTTGTCTACTTGGATACATCAAAAAAAAAATGGAAAGCAACGATATTATGTAAGAATGGGAGTAGACCACTAACTTTAGTGTTAATTTCAGAAAAAACCCCTAGACTAATCACTAGAATCAGAAAACATCATCTTACCCTCCTATAGTTTCAACTTTTCATCCCAACCATTCTTAGGTTAGCTTGGATGGAAAAATAACATTTCATTGACCAAAATGCCCCTTTATTCATTTTACAATGTAATAACAAAGCCAATCACAATCCTCTAGAAATTATTTTTCTGTAAAAATTTAATATCTAAACAAAAACCTTGCAGATTGAAACTACCATAAAGTTAAAGAGGGGCGTAAACTTTGTCTTCTTTCATAAACTTGCGGACCGGTGATGATGACTAAAATGAGAGGGGCATGAATTTGTTTTCACTTCAGCTTGGAATGCACAAAATCACCTATTAGGATATTTTTACTATTGAACATTATTAGTATATAGAGAAGCAAAACGATAATAAAAATTAGCACTAGCAATATTTATCTTTAATCATATCTGCACAAATTATTAAGAGCTATATCTGTCATTAAAAATTAATAATTCAGACCATTAAGCAACCATACTCAAATATAGAAATATAACATTAGTGTGCGGGCTTATTAATAATTTACGAAGTTAAAGGAGGTTTTCTTATTCTAATAGTTAGTTTAGGGGGTTTTCTGAAATTAACCCTTTTATTTAATGTTTTGCAGTTACAGGAACTAAAGTAGACTATGATAATAAATAAACCAAAAAATAACTCAAATTCACATTTATGCTGATGTGAATGTACTTTATACTAAAAGATTTGACACCTTATTTATATCACGTATCAGAGAAGTTTAATCAATTTTTCTGGAAGACCAGACAGGCAGCACCTATTTAGAATCATGCAATGCCTTAATGAGTCAGCAAATTGGGGTTTTTTGGCTTTAGAAATGGGAAAGCGTTTTAAAATTTTAAAGTTTGGTGTTAGTACCCATCTCCCCTAACACTTTGAATCGTGGAGAAAAAGGCAATCAAAGAAGTACAGAAGCAGATATAACAAAATGACATTCCAGTCGACATAGTGAAAGTGATACTTGCTCGCTCCCCACTAAAATCCCTAGCAAGGTTCAAGTGGGTATCCAAGCTCTGGTCTTCTTCAAACAATCTCATCGACCAATGGTTGGGAGAGAAATGGGCTCGAAGGATATGCAGATGTAACAATGCCAGATGAAGTATTGAGGCTCTATGCAACAAATTGAAGGAAGTTGGCAGTTTGGACAAGTTTCGTTTGTGTCGTGATCAAATGAAGGTGAAGAGGGATGAGATGGATGAGATCCTGGATTTCAAACACAACATCGATCTTTTCAGGCTTCGCCATTCTGTTGCATAATGTGTATACTTCGTTTATGATTGTTAAATGAGAAAATAGTTTCAATTTATTATTTTTTCAGGCTTGCGTTGATTCACAATTTATGGGCTGAACATAATGAGTTGTTGCATAATGTGTATACTTCGTTTATGATTGCCACTACGTTGCTACAACAAGCTCACCGTGCTAGTAAACTTTCCTTCTATCCTTTTGTTATTGATTCCACTAGTACATGTTCTTGATTCTGAGAGATCAATATACCACCGGGAAGAATTAAATTGTTAAATGAGAAAATAGTTTTAATTTTATTATTTTTTCCTACGTAGTGCTGCAATGGCTCTTTAAATACACAAATGTCATATGCCTACATAAGGTAAGGTAATTACGCTTCCTATTATGTTCTAGTCCACTTTTTTTGTTGCAAGTCCGAGAACAAATGAAAATTAGAAAAAGAAGCAATTATTCCTTCTTATAGTGTATTAGAGGATCCAAACTCTAGTATTGCTTGGCATGTAATAAGTTTTGTTAGTTTGATCCACCCTTCAAATGTGGCTTCAAATATTTAAAATAAATTGGTGAAATGGGCATTGCTCTTCCAAGTAGGAGTTTTGAGTTGGATTTCTACCATCTATAATTGATTAATTGGTCATCTGATAGGATCTGATAATTGACATGTATATAGTGCCATGGAATGCAACATAACCGCAAGTGACATAATAGATACCAAAAATCATGAAATCGTTTTAATGAAGGCTTATTTCTCACTCATTTTAAATTGACACCCTAAAGTTTAAATATGCCCATTTGCTACTGTAATGTTTCTACCTTGATGTTAAAAACATTAACTGACTTAATAGAGAGACGCTAAAAATTCTTAAGCTTAGCTGTAGTACCCATTCTTTCTCCCCCTTATTTAGTCAGAATCATCGTTCTTGCACTACCACCCACTCCTCATGACTCTCTCCCCGATTCTTTCTCTCTTAAAGACAAGTATAGTTTCCTTTCTGTTCTATTGGTCTTTTACAAGTAGATGAAGTAAAATCCCCTAATTTGTGGAAGCTGGAAAACCAAAAATAAGAATCGCATTCATCTAAGTTAATCAATGTTCTTGCTTGTGAAGGCTTTGTTTGATTATGTTGGAATAAAATAAATATAACATATCTTACATTGTATTTTGTAGCACTAACACTAATTTCAGGTTAAATAGGTCCGTCAAAGAACTCTAAACCACTTTTTCAATATAGAAGGGCCTGATACTAGAGCAACATGCACTAAGAAGCTTGAAGGCACAACACATTTAACAACTAAAAAGGGAACCCAACCACTTCAAAGCTTTTCTATCAGGCAATTGATGCAAATCATGAAAGGAGTCTAAATGAATACACTAAATGCTATGAAGATTAAGGAGCCTCTTCGTAGTGTTTTGTTTTTTATTTTCTTTTTCGGGTTTTGACATTGCATGCAAGTGTTGTTAGAAAACTGGTGAAACTGAATCATGTTCTTATGTTCTTTTGTTTATGTACGGATTATATTGTGGAACTAAACCATCATGGTGTGTAAATGGTTTAGGAAATATGCATGGTGGAACTAAACCTTTTGACTTCTGTTTTTTTGCTAGTCATAGGTTTTTACTTTGAACGCCAATTTTTAGATTGATTTTGAATGGACTATATCATTATTTTCATTTGTATTATGGAAATGGTTTCATTATGCTATGAGTTCTATAATACAGAGACAAAGGATGTTACACAATGATTTTCATAATCACACTTTAACACATCAGATCATAACTTCGTCAGTAACAAGATAAACATGTTAAAACAAAGGAGGGAAATAGTATAATTACACCCTGCATGACTTTCTTGTACCTACTGCTCAACGCATGTTTCATCTTCTTAATTTTTTTCCCTCCCTTTCAACTCGTTTTTCTTCTCTTTTCTTTAGCCAAACCTATGTAGAACCACCCCCACCCCACCCCACCCAAAAAAAAAACCCAACCCCAACCAAACCCCCGCACCAAAAAAAATCGTTAACTTCTTCACTGATAAATTAAGAGAAATTGCATGTAGACATAGAACTTCATTTTTACCAAATTTCAATTTTTTCCTCTCTAAAGTTTGAGGCAAGAGTAGAATAAAAGTGCTTTCGTGTAAATGGGTTAATAAGTTCAAGATGAAGAAAATGGGATAAGGGGGAAATTGATTTTCATCACACAATACAGTAATCTCGTACTAAGTATACAATGCAATTTAAATAAAAAATTAAATTGCGAGCTAATTAAGGGTATTTAAGTTAAAAATTGGCAAAAATATGGGGTATTAAATGGCAAAATTTGGAATTCAATATATTAAAATTAAAAATGGGAAGCCTTCAGTATATCAAATGCAAAAAAGCCTTTCAAAAAAATTGACGGGTTAAAAAAACTAATCACTAGAATCAGAAAACCTCCCTCAAGTTCGTAATTCATCAATTTAACCCTCTATATTTTCAACTTTTCATCCCATCCATCCTTCCGTTAGTTTGGATGGAAAAATAACATTTCATTGAACAAAATACCCTTTCGTTCTCCTTACAAAGTCAAATACAATCCTCAAGAAATTATTTTTCTGTAAAAATTTTACATTTGCACAAAAACTTCCGGATTGAGACGATATAAGCATTGTCGTCTTCATAACTTTTGGGTCGGTAACGACTACAAGAGGGGTATGAACTTGTTTTGGGCATGCAATGCACATACTCACCTCTTTGCATATTTTATTATTAAACTTTATTAGTGAGTAAATTAGAGAAGCAAAACAAGAATAAAAATTACAGTTAGTATTTTTTATCTTTAATCCTATCTGCACAAATTATTTAGGGATTAAGCAACCGCAACTCAAATATAGATATAAAAACATTAGGGTAGGGGGGTTTAACGATGAATTACAAAGTTGGATAAGGTTTTCTGCCTTAGTAATTAGTGTTTTCTCTCTCTCTCCCTTTATTTATTTATTTTGTGTGTGGGGGGGGAGGGGGGAGGGGGGTTCTGAAATTAACCCTTGATTTTATCAACATCCATAAATTTCTACTATCAAAAACAAAAATACTAACATGTCAAGCAAAAATTAGGGATAAACAATTTTATGACAAAATTGATACCCTTTGTGTTTCTAAAAAAAATTTAAGTTTCAAATGTAACACATAAACAACTATTACGTAATTTTTAATATTGTATGCTATTTTGCATTAATAACACCCATCTTCAGGGATCTTAATTATTCATGTGCTAAACACTTAGCCTTTTCACAATACAGAATTGAATTTCAATTTCTGAATACAGATTTACCATTCACAACTTATAAGAAAAATATATGCAGAAGTTATTTCTTTATAACTTTTGATGAAACTTTATTAATTTGAGGGTTTTATGGAAATAAAATGTGATGGCGACCCTATATTCTATGTGTGCAGCAATCGTGGGCCCCATTTCTTTTCTCTTTTTTTGTCATTTGATATCCAGCCACATTCCATATGACCCTTTTGGCGTCAGATATAAAGGTTCTGAGTGCAATATAGTAATATTAATCATTCGATGTAGGAAGCACTTTTCTTTGAAGAGGGTTGAGGCACCTCCAGTATCAGACCAGCATGCAAAGCCCCTCGTATAAAAATAGTTTAGATGAGCTTTTGTTCACTTATCATGCGCAATCCAAAACTAAATTTTCCAGCATAGAACCAGCTTATAAAATTTGATGAAAAGTGTATGAGCAAACAGAAACAAAACCTGAGTAACTAAAGCAGCAGCACTCCGTAGGGGTCCTGGGGGATGCAGTCCAGACAAAGGAGGTTCTGGTCGATAAAGTGAAGACAGCCCACCAGGACGTTCCATTTGTGAATCAAAATGGGAATCACGTTCCAGAAATAGAGAATCCCGTGTCAATGGGAGTGTATATTCACTGCCTATGCCAGATTGCTGAGCAGCATGTATCAATGATTGAGCTTTATTACTCCAAGGATTTTGTATGCCAGCCTGAGATTGAGGTTGAGAATCCTGAGATTGAGGTTGACCTTGAGCCTGGGCCTGGGCCTGGGCCTGAGCAAGTGGTGCATTGGGCTGAGAAAAATAGACCACAGGTACCATCAGTATCCAGTAAATAATGAATAATAACTAATAAATGGACACTTACACTTTTTTCAAATAAAGGCACAATACTATGATCAACCAAAAATTTCCGAAGATGCTCAAGCACAGCTTCAAGTGCCTTGAGAACCTTCAAAGTTTCACCTTGAATGTCAACCACTCTTTCTTCCTCGGTAGCATAATGCGGCAACTTGTCTAACATAAAAAAATATAAAAAATAAAAACAGCATGAAAGTTTAGCTTAGTAGATCATTTTTAACAATACCAAATATAAACATCACTACAAAACTAGAAGCTAAGATAGAAAATTAAGGCCATCAAAGTCAGACAAGACCAAGTGAAAGCGGGTTGAGGAAGAAAACTGATATTATCTTGGACAGGACTAATCTAATATGGAATTTTACATTTTAGGATTATACAGTTCATGACCAACTATTAAAACTTATATGAACCCCTCATAAAGCTAAGCTAAAGTGGAATAAGATTTTCCATGTGATATTTCCTTTCTTATTTGCATCGGTAAATGTTACTTCATCGAATATTTCATTTCCTAGAATCAAAATGTTATGGTCAATGGTCATAAACCTAATAAGAATAAAAATTGAGAAAACTAATCAACCTATGCTTGGTATCTGCAACAAGCTCCCTGTAATACAAAATAGTGAAAGCAAGGACAGAGCTAGGTATATTTGAGGTAAGGAGCGTGCCCTACCTCAAAGTTTGAAGAGTTCATAAAATTGTTTAGTTCCTATACAATTATTTGCGTGTGCAATAAGGAGCCCCCAACCTCAATTACCTTTTTACCATACATAACTACATATGCTGCTCTTATAAAACAAATATTGACCACTGATCTTAGGATATAATAAAAGATATAACATTTTATAACTTTCAAATAAAATGTAGAATTATTAATGACTTGAATATCATGTAAAATATATTCCTTATTCTATTATTTTACTTTACATTTATCTACTGTAATTTTTATGTTGAAGTTGACTTCGAATAATAGTGACCGTATAATTTTTCAATCCAATTCTTTTATTAAAGTTGATTTTTTGGAAGATATATCCTTTCTTTACTCAATTTTTGTGAAATTATGCGATTGACGCATTCCATAGTTCTTACCAAAAGGAACAAAAAACTTTTATATCTTCCTTTACATGGTGGTGATGTTCGCTGGTCTTTGACACCTCTATTCCTAGAATCAATTATCTCAAGAATATTAGCAAGAGGTAACATATCTTTTAGTCATTACTTGGCTTTGAAATCGTGTTTTTCGTGGTCTATCTTAGTTTTTCATATTAAAAACATATAAAAGAGAAGGAAACTGGACACAATAGTTGCTCAGCAACAACAAGCATAATAACGAATACATAAGATTGTTAAACAGCTACATTTGGTTAAATTTCTAGTAGATTTTAATTTTACTTTTTTTTCAAAAGATCATAATGTTTAAATTTAAGTGGACTTGGTACTATGCCCACCTGCACGAACTTTATGGCTCTGCCCCCTGACTGAAAGCGCAGAGTAACTGATTAAGCGTTTAAAAGGATGGGGAAATTATTTTCAGGGAAGGAAGCACTGTTCTTGATACGCACTGGCATTTTAAGTATAATGGTATGAACCATGAGATATAAGGAGGCAAACAGCATCGAATACTCTAAGTTGAGGTGCATTTTACTTGGAAGATGTAAAGATTCATAGTAAGATAGAAAGAACTAAGAATTTGAAACTAATGACAGGAAGCATAGTAACTATAATTGCAGACTAGAAGTAATAGCACAGGAATTGTCATGTAAGGTTGCTGTCGGAGAACAATTTGATTTTTGACATGAATTTGTAGAAATAGCTTACAGTTTGATACTAACATCAAAATTATTTATTTCAGGTTACTAGATTAGTTGCATATAGCATTAATCCCTAACTGGATCATGCATATTAAGACGCAGAAGCCAGACAAAGCTGCTTCAATTTGTCAATGTGTTAAGAGGAGTGCAGAATATTAGTTGCATCTTTAAAATGAGATGCAGGCTAAGGGCACAGCGCCTTGCTTCAAAAGGTAAATAACCAACATATGTCGCTCCTGGTAGTCTATAACAATTACTTGAAAAAACAGATAGCCGAAAATGCTCGTTCGAGATGCTTGGATGATGGCAAAAGCATCTTCTTCAAACTTATGAACATAAAGAGTTGTTTGAACTCCAACAAGATGTTTGGATGATGGCGAAAGCCACTTCGTACTCAGGGCCCACATCTTCTTCCCCACTAACTAGGACTCCTCCATGTAGTACAGGGATGTAATAGAATTGAAGGAGAATCTTTTGAAGGTCAGTAAGATCTAGATGAGGACACGTTGGATGGCTCCAATGACTACCGAAGGGAGTTGATGGTGATAGAAAGAGCATGTTGGCTATTACAAAGGGACTTGTAAGGCCTTCTTGGCATGGATGGGGACGTCAGAGACTTGCAAGGAGGTGATGCTGAGTAATTTCTCGTTAGCAGCTAAAGCGAAGAACGGGAAGAAGGATGAGGAACTCATGGAAGCCATGGCAAAGGGGGTGGCGGTCGCTGCCGAGCAAGGAGGCGGAGGGAGCGGTTTTTGGGAGAATGAAGGGTTTAATTTGGGGAGAATGTGATCTGGTTTCAACAGGACAGAATGGTTTTCAGGAGAGAGTGTGTGGGCCCCACCTAATTTTATTATCATACTCTCTTTTTGATGGCTTTTTTTATCAAGGGTTGAGATTGAACTACATAGATTCCACCTCAGATTCAATCTAAGGCAGCACTTAGGGACGCTTTCTCCAAATTATAAATAGAAAGAGATCAATAAAGAAAAAGAAAAAGATCGAATATCTTTAGAAAGGACAGGCCTTCCAAACAGAATTTATGAAACAATGGGATCAAAACAACAGATCTGCATTACCATGAACTATTTCTATTTCTTCCCTCCCGCAACCAACGCCCCCCCCCCCCCCCAAAAAAAAAAAAAA